ACACACACACACACACACACACACACACACACACACACACACACACACCGTGCACGTGCAAAGTCTTTCCTAGGGCTCCCCCAAGTGGCCGTTTGGGGAATCACATCCATTCAAAAGTCTTGCCTGTTTCCAGCTAAATTGCTAGAACACGGCTTCCTAACACTGCTTTACTGACAGCCTGAGGATCAAAGTGAGGAAGGAGGCTTATCCCAGTTCATATCTGGTCCCAAGTCTATTTTGGTTAAAAGTCTGTATTATAAGTCCTCTCACTTCTAGGACCCTCTGAGTCCGAAGACTCAAGTAGTTTCAAGAGTCGAAGGGGCAGGGAGAGCTCATTCCTGACCTGGTGCATGAACCAGCTGTCACCCAGCAGCTCATCAGTGTCCACTCAAACACTCGCAGCAAGGGTGAAACCACCCCTCACACCCATTCCCTGGCAATGCTGTAGAAGAGCTAACACAGGTAAGAGATGCTGTCCTTTGGGGTGGAGGGAGAGAAGCAAGGGGAAACCTCAGTCATGTGGCTAGCCAGGTAGGTTTGGAGGCAGTGCCCCTATTTTGCCAGGTCCATGGGTGCTCTAGGGCCTCTGCTTTTAGGGACCTTTCTCAGGTTCCTATAGGCTCAGGATAGTGACCTGGGCTGGTGAGTCTGCGCTCTCTTCCTTGTCATTTACATTGAGACGAGGGAGCTGAGCCTGTGAGGGCTTCTGTGGGTGACAACTTACCACGTGTGAGGCACACTGCTGGCGTGCTTCCTCTACTCCAGCAGCACACCCTCCTGAACCCACAGGGTGGAAACGACCACCCCACAGCTGGTAAGACCTGCACCCCAGGGTAATGGAGAAAAGCAGGGGCAGCAGCACCCAGGCCCTATTTGCTGTGTGCTCAGCACTTCCCTTGGGGCTCCATCTCAGGGTGAGACCAAACATGAGTGATGCCAAGTCCTTCAGGCATGGTGGGGACAGGGACAGCAATCAACCTTTCAGCCACTGGCTTCCTCCCACTGCCCTCCACCCGGGGAGTCCCCCTTTCTCTCCTGTACTAATAAAACAATCCAGACAAGTCAGTCCATTTTTGTTTTATTTGTTAAACTGCTAAAAAGTCATCAGGGGAAAACATTAACAAAAATGAAATTGACAGATTTAAATATCCATGGGTTCCATTTTCATTCCTACACTGTAATGTGCCTAAAATGACGATCAGGGTGAGCCACCTGGCACCCCTGAGTGGTATGGAAACATCACTCACAGCACCAGCTTCGCCAGGGCACGGTGGGTGCGCACTGACATGAGCCCTGGTTGGTAGAAGGGGACAGAGCGAGCAGAGCAAGTACAGTGGAGTCAGGCAGGCTGACTTTCATCCATAAGGACGGTGGTGAGAGGCCACCAATGGTGGCAGCAGAACATGCTGTACGCAGTACCCGAGGCCAGGTTTCCTTTCCTGGCCCCCCTTCAGCTCCTCTCCACCATCGTATGCGCTGGTGAGATAACACTAAGCGGAGTACATCACCATGCTGGGGTCACCATGAGGACAAGGACAGACAGACGGACATACCAAGCAGGTGATTCACTTTGAAGGGGAAAAGCAAAGCAGAACGAACCCAGAAAGATATGGTAAAGGAAGGGAGGACCCCCTTGTTCTGTTGACAGTGGCTGTTCCTGCAATGCGGCTTCCTCCTCTTCTCTGCTGTATTTAAGGAGTTCCAAGGCCGCTCTTCCACAGTTTGTGGTGGTTCAAACATTAAAGTCAATCAACCCACAGAGCTGGGAGGAGCGCAAGCTCCAGCATTACTTTAAACAAAACTCTTTCTACACCTTGGTGATCTCAAAATGTGGCGGGAGGTGGGGTTGTGACGTGCTCACCCCAAGCAAGGAAGAAAGGTGGAAAGAGGAACGAAAACAAAAGCTCTCTGCTGTGTGGTGTGGGTAATGAACAGGGGCTCTGTGCAGGAGCGGAGCAGTGCCCAGAACACAGCAGAGGCCAGCGAAATGACTGAAGTTAGTATGACCGAGGGCTCTCCAAGGCACACTTGTAGGAATGGAAAGGGTTAAAGCTTCAAGTAGAAACAAGATGTATTTTAAATACTTAAATACTGATAAATATTTGCTTTAGGTGCTCCTGAGGGTTCAAACAAAATATTTTGTCTCATGTCTCTCAGTGAATTTTAAGACAAAATTGGTATCGTGTCAAAAAAAAAGGAGTTGTGGTTAAATTTGAACTAACGGTGTTGTGGGAATGCCGACCTCTGTGGAGACACCATCGTCACTGTGGAGTCACTTTCCCACGCCACACATCCACAGAGCTCAGGGATGACCGAGTCCTGCACTGCTGGGTGCACACAAGGCTCTGTTTCCTCTGGAGGGACTGCAGACACCGGGCTCTCAGCAGTGCGGGCAGCCCCAGGACCCCAGAGTTCTGAGGAACCCATTGCTTTCAAAGAGGTTAATATTTCTGTTGCCTGCCTACTTGGGAAAAGTAGGAGAATCAACAGTTGACAGCCAGCTTAGGAAGGCCACAGGGGAAAAAGAAAGACTACAAAGTGGAGATTTTAAACTTCCAAATGTCGAAATACTTGGTATTTAAGTAGAAACCAAGCCCAGGGACACCGTCCACACGTAAATATCACAGCCAAGGTTCAGTAACACCAGGTTGCTCATCTGCTGGCCTCGCCTCATAAGGCAGGGCCCCACAGGATCAAACAGTCTCGGCCAAAGGACTGGCAGAAGCAACAAGGCAGGGAGCCAGAGCAGTGGGACACACAGATGTAGGCACACGGGTGTTCGCTCGGGAGCAGCTCCAGAGCACATACCTTCCCTGGGCTCCCACAGGGGCTTTCCTGCTGAGACCACCAGAGCAGAGCGAATGGCTAAGGGAAGACTGAGCATGAAGCAGACCCAGCTCTCAGACAGGTGGGGACAGCAGCAGTGGGCTTGTGTCTGGGAGATGCTGACAAGAAAAAAGGAGAGTGGGTGGGGTGGGAAATGCTTTCATTGTTTCAGTTTTGGTTTTAAAGGCAAAATGAAAATCCTTCACCACTGACAAGAAGCCACCAAAATTCAGAGTTGCATGGCCATTTAAAATAATCTTATATGCTATCTCCTATGCACAGGCTATGCTTCAAGTCTAGTCCTTTCTGGTGCCCTCTGAACAACGTGAGCCCTCTCCTGGGGGTTGCACTTATCTGGACTGAAGTGAAAGTACAAACAAAGCCTGCTGGGGACTTAGGTGCAAACAAGAGAGCAGGAAGGACAGTGCTGCCCCCAGGTCATCTCCAAGTGTACCTCCAAGTGTCTAGGACGTGATACTCAACCCGCCAACAGCACAGCACAGTCACAAGTCAGGAGACCCTTTCTGGGAGGAACCGTTCCCAGATTCGCCTTTAAGACCAACTCCTACACTTTACCAATAGGGACAGGTGTGCTCAGTGCAATGGAGATTAAAAAAAACACATAGAGAAAAAGGAAACTTTGGGGCTGGGCCTGGTGGCACGTGTCATTCCTCCCAGCACTCGGGAGGCGAAGGCAGGAGAGTCTTTGTGAGCTACATAGTGAGACCCTGCCTAGGGTGGGTGGGGTGTCTTCTGATGCTTCTGAGTTTTGTTTTGTTTTAATGTTATTGGTATCTTAATTTTATTTTGTTTTGTTGAGAGAGGGTCTCATCATATAACCCAGGCTAGCCCCATCATCCGGCCCCTGCTCTGAGTGTTAGGGTCACAGGTGTGTACCCCCACACTGCGGTGGAAGGCTTGAGAACATCTGACTTCTACAGACACTGGAGTTTTGTAAGAGAAGCTGGAGCAATGGAAGTCCTGATGCTTTTTAAAAAGACCAAATGCCCCAAACAAAACAAAAAGTGAAACAAAACATCCCAAACCAAAGCAAGCCACTGAAGGGCAGGGGAGCAGCCTACAGACAGAAAAGGGCCTCTGAGGACCCAATTCTAAAAGGAAAACAGTATGTTTTTTGGCAACTTGCAACCAAACACGATTGTTGGAAAAATCTCATAATTGGACACTGCATGTTTGCTGAGAGATGTAGGGAGAACTCAAAGGACCGATGGACAGGAAGGAGGCAGACGGATGGCGGCTCTCTAAACATTGTTTCACCATGACTCCAGCATGTGGGGAACAGTATTTCTTGTTGGGTGACTTCTCTGGATCACAGAAGGACCAGGCACAGGGTGCTTCTACAGAGCCATCACAGGTCCTCTGTGGTTCAAACAGGAGGGGGAAGAATTTTTTCTGTTAACTGACTTTGACCCTGCAGCGCGGCATCTGTCTGAGAAGGCCACAGAGATCACAGGGGCTCTCAGCTTGCTTCTCGTGGGAAGTTAATGCTGTTTGTCTTTCCCTAACTTACTGGTCTGGTTATCAGCACAGCCTCCGCAACAGCTCATCTGAACCAGGACGAAGGTTTCACCTTTACTTGTAAACAGAGTTGGGTATATAATATATCTGTATATATTTATATATAATCTTTTCCTTAATGAAGATTTGATCCAAGCCTGGAGTGAGTTAGGCCTGGAATTGGAGTTTTGGTCTGTGGGAGTCATGTTGTTTTCCCCAAGTCTCAGTCCAAATGCTTGTACACTGGAATATTCCAAACAAAAAGGGATTTTGAACACATTATCTCTTTGCTCGCACAAAGTACAAGGCGTTTGTTTTTGGATAGTACTTCACATTCTGCTTCTTGTCCATGAGCCCTCCAAATATGATAAGCTCTCCTCGGCCCTGCACCACTGTGTGCAGGCTAGTCTCCGGAGGTCCGACCACAGAACTGCTAGTAAACACTTTCCATTTGACCCGGCCTTTCTCCTTGGTGTCTTTAATGTCCAGAACATACATCTGCATGGGCTTACAGTTCATACTCTGGTACAAGGGTTTGCCAACATTGAGGGACTGTGGAGGGTGGTGGCCCAGACGGCGAGCAATGGGGGGTAAAGAATGACCATCTCCTTGGGCTGGTCCTGGGCGGGGGATGGGTACTGTTTCTCCACTGCTCAGGTTTTGACTCCCAGGAGAGCTTGGAGAAGACCCAAGAGGAGGACTTAGTGTGGCCGATGCTGAGGGGCCTTTGGATGACATTGCTTTGATGGCTTCCAAACTCCGCCGCAGGGCACTGGGGGATACAGCCCCTGCAAGGGCACTGGCCACATGTGGTGGGGTGTGAACACCATTGGTCTGTTCTGGAGGGTGTCTCACACTCCCCCCTGCAACTGTCCTGTTGTCTGTACCATCCACGTGACTGCTATTGGAAGCAGACTTCAGGTCCCAATTCAGGTCAATGGAACTTAACCTCAAGTCCTTCTGATCTGGTAGAGACCCTCGTCGGGGGGCTAGAGAAAGTCCCATTTTTAGGTCATATCCTTCGGAGGCAGATGGAGTGCTTGGAGATACTACCTGTACAGGGCTGTCTAAGGAAGCACCCCCGACAGCTGCTGTTCCTGGAGACAAGGTTCCACCATTGAGGATGGGAGAGCCATCTCCTCTGGCTGGGGAGAGGCTCCCTTCCCGGGAACCTGAAGGAGTCTGCCTTTGAGCCCTGGGCCTCAGTGTTCCCCAGCGGCCATTGACACAAGGAGCTTCATCCATGCTCCTCACTGGGGACTGGGAGCGGTACTCTCGGGCTTCAGGAACCAGGGCTGGAGGAGTGGCACTGATGGGTGATGGGCGAGAGTTCAAACTGGGGCTGAGCGGTGCTCTCCCACTAGGAGCCTGGCTGAAGACCACCACACACTGTCCCACCTGGAAAACAAAGGACTGTGCTCACAGCCTCGCCTACAGCTGTCGTCATTCTTGCAACCACCCCATTGTCTAACACAGGCACTGGGAAAGGCCGGGACTGAGGGGCTGAAAGGAACAGTGGTTCTGGCTAGGAAGGCAGGTAGCCCCGAGCGACTGCACTATAGTGTGAGGTGCCGCCAGTTACAGCTGTGGAACAGGAGCTCTGTTTGTGGGACCTGGGGAACACTCTGCAGACAAATGGATCCTTAAAGCTAGAAGTCAGATGATGTGCAGCTATGTCCTCCTACCAAGCGGCTCATGGACATGGTAAATACCGAAAGAGCATGTGACACCAAACAGTTTTCTACTTCTGTCAGCTTAACAAATTTGGTTTTCCAGTTTAGGACATTTCCTGCTGGCTGCTCAATCCTTGCTTACCCGGCAGGCTGGATGGCACCATAGTTCCGGGGCACCGTGGTCTTCATTTTCTACCTTGAGCGGCTGCCAGGCCCAGGAACCTGGGTGCATGTGCAGCAGCCAGGCATCTTTGAACAGCTGCAAGAGAAGGACCAAGGACAGGATTCAGGGTTGTCAGGTGCTCCCACACACACAACCGCTGTCCCACACTGTGTTACACACACTGTCGTCTTAAAGCCGTGCTGCCTGGTTTAAAGTGTGTGGCTTTGCAGGACAGACATCCTAAGTCCTCAGCTATTCACATTCAGCTCTGTCTGCGCCTATGACTCCTGCCTCCACTCACTCACACATGACCCACACACCAACTATAACTGGTGTGAGTGTGTGCATGCAGGGGAGAGATCATATGTCCATTAACTTTCTCAGTCTGCATTCTAAAGTAAATTCCACGTGGACTTCAGTTTTCCACCTATTTTCTAGCTCACTGCCACCTTAATGGGCGAATCTTACAGCTCAAAGAGGAAACAGAGGCAGAAAGAACTGAGGAGTGACTAAGAGACCAATGTTTCTGATTAAAAGAACCTCTCACTCCCCCTCCCCCCTCAAAAAAAAGAGAACAGAGGAAAGGGCGGAAAACATAAGCCCCATCTCCTCGGAAAGTAAGGGTGTTCTCTGAGTCAGCATGCCGGAGGGCTCTGTCTCACTGAACAAGCAGCATTTCCAGCTGAGGCAGAGTGAGTGGTACCGATACTCACGGCATTGGGACCGCCACAACCGCCGAGGATCAGGATAGTTGCATCATCTATAACAATCTGGGAAAGATGAAGAAATTTAAAATAAACCTACAAAGACACAGGCATCTGACTCATGATTCAGTGACATACACAAATGCCACGCCCAGCTCCCAAGTGAGTGTTCCAGCTGCCTACTCTACCCAACCCACATCAATTCTAGACCTTTGAACTGATGACCCTTTATCAGACACATTCTAACTTAAAAAAATGTTAATACACGAGTGTTAATCACGGATAATGAAGAATTCTCTTAAAAAAAAAAAAACAACTCACTAAGGCCACTATAAGTAATACAGCAATAAAAGCTGAGAACAAACAGAACAAAAGAAAAGAAAGAAGAGACATTCTCTTTGGCTCACTGCACAGGGTACCTCCCCCTCACTCCCATAAAGATACTAAATACAGCGCCTGCTCAGTAGTCAAACTCTTTAGTACCTGAGACTGGCCACCTCGGGGATGAGGGCTGGGGCCAGAGATGTTCGGCTTGGACCACGCCCACTGCTCCAGGTCCAGCACCCAGACTTCATTGCTCCTGTGAGATAAGAACACAGTCGTAAGGAAACTAGCTGGGAGCTCCAGAGAGCACAGCGGTGGCTGGGAGTTTCTGGTGCCTGTGCCCAGGGGGAAAACTTACATCACTTTCATACAAACAGCCTTCAGAGATGCTTTCCTCAGAGTCCAGGGACTTCAGAAGAAAAAAACACCATGGCTGAACTCTACCTAGTTTTGCATCCTAAACAAGAAATTTTATTTTCTCTACCTTTGGTTTTCTTTCCTATGGAACAGAAACATAGCTGATCTTCAAAACTGACAGAAACCAGGCACATGCCAGTGGGGAAGGGAGCCAGAGGCCAGAGTTTAAGCCAGCCAGAGTGAGTTCCAGGACAGCTGAGGCTACACAGAGAAACCCTGTCTGGAAAAACCAACTAACCAAATAAATACATAAATAAAATAAGACACACACACACACATTATACAAGTGTCTCAGTGATACTCAGCACTGAACCCATCCTGAGACCTTTCAACCTTTCATTTCTCTGTGGTCATAAGGTCTTAGCTGAGGGGAGTGCGCTTCCATACCTTGGACCCACAGTAAAAGCAGGAAGCAGCTTCTAAAAACAAAAACAACGAGAGACAAAAAACTGGTTCTAAAGGCATCTATCATGGTGCAGGAGCTAATAGAGGCCTACTGATCATGACAACAGAGTATTTCACAGTGGTTGTAAAAGCTTCAGGTTTTTGTTTATCAAGATAGGTTTCTCTGTGCAGCCCTGGCTGTCCTGGAACTCACTCTGTAGACCAGGCTGACCCGGAACTCTCAGAGATCCAACTGCCTCTGCCTCTCAAGGGCTGGGATTAAAGGTGTGCAACACCACCACCTGGCTTAAACGCTTTGATTTTATTAAGAACCAACTGCCACATTCAACTCCAGAGGGCAGCAGTGCTGGGCGTGATGGCACACACCTTTCCTTGCAGGCAAAGGCAGACAGAGCACAGTGAGTTCAAGGTGAGTCAGGTCATCTAGAAAGTTCCTGTCTCAAAACACCTACTCTCCCTGTCAAAGGAAAGGAAAAGAGCAGCAGGACATTGGCATGGGACCCCCCCCCCCAAATGCAACCCTAGCACTCACAAGGTCAAGGACTGCGTGAATTTAAGGCCAGACAGAGTTGGGGTGGTGGAAGGAAGCTGGCAAGGGCTGAGTCCTGGCTGCAGTCTCCAGTGTTATCTCTCTAAGATCTTGGACTTACACACAAAGATACAAAGTAGGCACTCCCAAACTTAAACCCTAAGTCCTCTCATTTGGAGGGCAGTTCCTTTTGTTTCTCTCCACAAATATTTTTTATTTAATTTACATTTTTGTTTTACTCTTTTTTAAAGACATATTTTTCATATAGCCCAGGCTGGCCTCAAATGTGCTATGTAGCCTAGGATAACCCTAAACTCTGTAACTTTTTTGTAGACTAGGTCGGACTCTTCTTATAATTTATTATTTTATTTTATGTACATTAATGTTTTGCCTTCATGTTTGTCTGTATGCGGTGACAGAAGCCCTGGAACAGGTGTGAGTTTCCATGTGGGAACTGGGAATTGAACTCAGGACCTCTGGAAGAGCAGCCAGTGCTCTTAACCTCTGAGCCATCTCTCCAGCCTCTCCATAACTATTTTAAAACACAAAGCTCATGAGTCCTGTCAGAGAGCAAGCTTGGGTCTGCTTTCTTGATGGCTCAACAGAAAACTCCTGTGGCTCCCACTCACAGCAATGCAGACGGACTGCTGTTCCCGCCCTGCACTTCACAGGACGGGGTGACCCTGACTATAACTCTCCTCCTGGAGGTCCTGAGCTGGGCAACAGAGCATCCTGCTTTTTGGAAGGTGACCTTCTATAGGCGCAAGACAGAAGACAAGGGGGAAGCTTCACAAAAACTTGACCCCATTGGATTAACAGAAAGAAATTCCACTTAACCTTGATTTTAAGGAGAAAATTTTGATATGTGATGGAGAGACTGAAGAATTAAACGCTGAGGTAAAGTAGTTAACTAGGTTAAGGAGAACTTTGTTCAGGGACAAGGCTGTGCCTAGTTCACCTTTCTGGCCTGTTATGTCCAGGAGTTTCTATCTTTACATTAGCATGAAGCAAATCAGAAATACTTACATTTGCCGGGATCCTAAAGAGCCACCAAAGACAATCATTTTATCACCTATAACACAAGAGGAATGGCCAGCCATGGGAGGAGGCCCATGGGTAGTAACAATGCAGTTCCACCTAATGGAAGCAGAGGGAAGAAGCAAAAGTCAGAACCACTTACTCCATCTTGAAAGCATAAGACACAAAGGAGTGGTGGCATCCACTAAGAAAGACAGCCTGTTACCTTTCTAGCAGGCACCTGCTAGACACACAAACACATACATGTTAGGCAAATGCACATAAAAAAGAAAGAGACGTGTCTGTCAGGCATGGTGGTGCACACCTTTAACTCAAGCACTCAGGAGGGGAAAGCAGGAGGATCTCTGTGACTTTGAGGCCAGCCTGGTCTACAATAGTGAGTTCCAGGACAGCCAGGGCTATCTAGAAACACAAAATAAGACAGCCATGTCTGAGAAATAACCTGTGTGGTCCAAGACTGCGGCAGTACACAGGGTCTCCATGCACACTGCTCCTGAAAAGGAGCCACTGAACCTCAGAGCTCCTCCTCTGACTGGCCTGCCCACTTTCCTCAGAGACAACAGAGCTAGCTCCCCTGCTTCTCCTCCTGCAGAAAGGCGTCGCAAAGGTCTCAACCTAGAAGCAAGTTCCTGATGTGCGTCCTCTGCATAAACAGAACTTTAGCTTCCAACAACCTCTTCAAGGGATTCTCTTGTTTTGTTAATAATTTTACAAATATTTACATTTCATACACATATTAATGTGTGTCTACGTGACTGTATGCTGTGGGGAAGCAGAGTCCAGAGGAGGGTGCTGGATCCTCTGGAGAAGGGAGCTCTAGTCTTCCCTCCAGTCCCTCCAAGGGATTCTTGACACACACAAAAAATAAAGAATCCATTGATTTAAACCCTTTTTTTGGGCCAGCAAGATAGCTTGATGGGCAAGGGCAGTCGCCACCAAGCCTGACAACCTGAGCCCGATCCCTAGGATTCACATGGTGAAAGGAGAAAAACAGTTCCTGGAGTTGTTCTCTGACCTCTACATACATGTTGTAGCATGCAAACACACATGCATGCACACACACACTAAAATGTAATACAATGAAACCCATTTCTTCCAGATACAGGGTGGATTATCTTCATGGCTTACCAATTTTTAGATGGTGAGTATGTGTGAATTTCATCAAAGAATCTCTCTGGTTGGTGTAAGGGATAGGGACTTGGTCTCGTCCAGCCACCGAATAGCACTAGCAAGTCCTTATACACGACTAGAGTGGCTCCAGCTTTGGGGGAAGGATAGGACCCTAGGAAAAGGCAACAGCACCATGGTTAGGATTTAGGAACATAAAATTCATTAGGCTAGCTACAGGTCATCTTTCCTTGGAAGGACAAGGAAGGAACCAATGTCACACAGCAGAAGAGAGAGAAGCTGGGTTTCAGGTCTGAGAGACTCATTACTGATTTGTACATCTTCATAACCAATAGAGAAAGTTACTCAGCTTTTGTTGGAAAGTAGAGTAGGCGGGTGCCCATCTCAAAGGGTCCCAGCTTATCTTGGCTTAACTTTACAATGCACTGCAGTAGCCAACAGTCAGTGGAGGTCCTCCTTTGGAATTTCATCTTTTATAGGCTAGTGAGAATGCTAGGTAATGCAGTGAACCTCAGCTCCCACTCAGTCTCCTGGCACAGGAATGGGGAGAGGAACTGCACGCCATTCCCTGTTGTTGTGCTGGGGTGTCTGAGAGGTCAGGTATATTACATATGCTTCCCATTTATGATGGGGTCATTGAGCTATAACCCTATCATAAATCACATGGAGTTTGAGACCAATTTGGGCTCCATGAAACCCTATCTAAAAAAAAAAGAAAAAAAAGAAATTTGGTTCATGCTGGGAAGACAGATCTCATAAACAGGAACAAGCCTTTCTAGAGTTTCTGTTTTGAAATGACCATTGCTAGCTAGTTCCCAAAGTTCTTCACTGTTAGTATGGTCAAAGTGATTTGTCCCAATATCTAGGGGCTGAAAAATACTGTAGTATACATAAAAAAAAAATTACCAGGCTAGAAATGGCTTAGCAGTTAAGAGCACTGTTGTGGAATATTAGTTTAAGATGTGTTACATTCATGGCTCAGAGGTTAAGAGCATTGCCTGCTCTTCCAAAGGTCCTGAGTTCAATTCCCAGCAACCACATGGTGGCTCACAACCATCTCTAATGAGGTCTGGTGCCCTCTTCTGGCCTGCAGACATACACACAGACAGAATATTGTATACATTATATATATATATATATATAT